CACCCACGTCCGCCAGTTACAGTCAAGATTATCTGTGCCAAAGCGCATCAATTTCTATCCCGGGGGTCTTTAGTTATTTTGAGTTAAATACGTACAAGTACTATAACGAACGAACATTAATGAAACTATGTAATTCATTTAGTTAGTTAGTTCGACCCTACATAGAGGGCGCAGGTATTATGGGAGTACTTCACAAGGTGCAAGGGTACCCAAGGGGGTACCCTTGCACCTAAGGATGCACCTATGTCCAACATAAGGATGTTATTCTGTCGCGCTAGAGTAAATCCAAAAATCCCCGCATGGGTTGGGGGTTGTTTCAATCATTCTGTTTGTTGTAGTAAATTGTCTTCTATTTAAAAAAAACGAGCGACCATAAATCACACAAACTTGTCCACGCCTTCGGAGAAAACATGATTCCAGTTCATCCATACTAATTGACAAAACCGATAATCGTGTTACAATATCCAAAGCTTGTTAGATAAAAATCAATCAGGTAGCAGGGAGCGCACAATCACAACAAAGTAAGACGAGTCGACTATTTGCAACTGCAAGTCCTTCATCATCCGTAAACCGTTTTGAAATGTCTCAGTAAGAGCAAGCGCAGGATGGTCGGCAGGCTTTGTCGTATATCTGGTTGTATAGTACGATATGGCATATTATTATTGTTACTAATAATATAAAATTAAGGTACTATAAAATGAATTTATTTAGCTACTTAAATATGCCCATGTGTCATATCTATTGACTACCAGGATATTTTTTACGGTGTCATATCTTTTGACTCCCAGGATATTTATTTTCGGTGTCATAATAAAAAAGGCTAGTTTTTCATAGATCCATCGATTCATACTAATTACATTGTTGGCGGAGCTGGGTGCGTTTTGCCCAATGTCCTTTGTTTGCCAAAAAAAAAACTCTCATGAAGTCGAAACTGGATTTTATAATCTGCGATCAATTCATGTTTGCTTATGAGAGCATTGGTACGTCGTCACCAATACTCGAAGCACCTGTCGTTTACAAATGAACTTGCAATATGCTAGGGATGTCGAAAGTTGAAAAAAATATCGATATATCGATACATCGATATTTAAAAAAATATCAATATCGGCTTCGATATATCGCGAAAAAAACATCGATATATCGATATATCGGACCAATTTTCCCAAAAATATCGGACAGTAGCTCACGAAATATGACACGTGGAATAATAATGGAACGAAAATTATCTCCCTAAAAATAGACCCTATTTTCGAATGATGACATAGACAATACTAAATACAGCACAGATCATAGATATGTTGAATATCATTAATCTGAGATCCAGTTACAATTTTTCCAGATACGAATTTAGTTAGATCGTGATATACCGCTAATAATTAAAAAAATATCGTTTTTGATACGAATTTCGATATTGGTTATTTTGTATCAATGTATCGATATATCGAATCAAAATATATCGGCAAAAAATATCGGAATATCGAACAAAAAATATCGATATATCGATACATCGATATATTTTCAACAAGCCTACAATATGCACACACGTCACGTACGAGTTCGCTCGTTTGTCTGGTTGTACCTTACTCTATCGCGAAGGTTCTTCTGCCATTGTCATCGGTACGTGCCTTAACACATAGTTGCGGAACTATTTATGATATGTGTAACTAGATTAACGAACTCGAGTGTGACTTTATTTATCTGTCACTCAAATTGTGTCACGGCGTTTCGTTCATTGGAGTTTACTCCTTAAGAATCGATTTGCATATATAAGGGGCCCGGTATGAGAAAAATGTGAGGAATAAAATCTATCGATGAATGATCTCGTTACGTTTTTGGTGTGCATCCTATGTCGCGCAACTTTGACAAACAAAGATGACGGATTGACATTAATAATTTTTTTAAAATCTGAACTGAATTTAGATATTGTTTCTGATAGAGCAATGGGGACAACGAGGTATGGCACAACCATTGATGCGGTATTTTCAAGATTCGTGAACCACGACGTATCTACGAACGTCCATGTGTTGTATTTTAGTTACCATAAACCACTTGTCACTGTAATTAATAATGCAGACAATGTTGATTTAATTAATATTTAAAAAAATGATAATAGTCTGATAATAATAATAAATACATAATTTATCAACATTCCTAATGATACATTTATGCACATCTGAAATTGACTATTGTAAAAAGTTTAATGTAAAATATTTCGTCGATTAGTTATAATAAATGTATATGAAATGAATAAATATATATTTATATATGTATATTATTTTGATTAATTTGTTAATTTACCCTTTCATACAGTATCAATCTTTTTTAAGTTAAATAAACTCTTTTTGCGTCTGGTTAGACTATCGAACTTAAGGAGTAAACTCCAGTCGTGCATCGGAGCTGACACACACAATATTTTATTTAAAAATTTGTGGTTGCATATTGGTCAAAATTTGTCCTTTTCAGTTTAAGAGTTATTGTGTGTGGCAGATGCATGATAATGAGTGTGATGTTTGTTTTAGGAAGAATTTGGATTTCTGATACATTATCTATTATATTTTTATTCTTTAAGCATACAACTGCTAGATAGGTATTAAAATCTAAAGAAAATTTACTTAAAAAAATCCACGCGGAATAGGCAGCACTAGAACAAATGTCATTCGGGTTCGAGTCCTGACTCAGGCAGATCAAGGCAGCCCTGATCCGCGTGGATGTTTCTCTAGTAAATTTTTCTTTACATTATGTGTTATATAAAATTAGTTAGCTCCCTCTACATCTTTTCCATATAAATATTTATTTTGCGATATCCCAGACTCCTTTATCTAGGGAATATGCTAAAACAGGCATACAGATATTTTTTGGAGTATATATATCCAATATTATAATTATCCAATTTCTTTAGTCCGTGTGTCTCCATCAATTTGCACAACGACGAAAACGAAACGTAACGGGTGAATGAAGCCGGTGAAAGAAGCCGGTGAAAGAAGCCGGTGAAAGAAGCCGCGAAGAAGAAGCGCATTCGAATTTTATACGGCGCACAATAAGCCTACAATTTTTCAATTATTGTAAATTATACGTAATTAAACGTTTTATCAAGTATACGAGTTCATCATTAGATAGGAGACCTGACTGTCCCAGACACCGTGTATTGCTTCGACACCTTGAAAGTAGAAACTCCTGTTTAATCTGTGTACTATCCATAATTTGCAATATTCGGGAGGTAGTTTTCAGAAACTACCTCAAAGTTTAATAATGTTTGTGCTGATTAAATAAACTTCAAATATATCCACTTGTCTTAATTGTACGTGATTCTTCTTAATTATGTTAGTAATTATAAAAAAATTGGAAAATCCAAAAGTGCACGCCTGACATTCACGAAACAAAAACCCAGTAAATAAATTCCATTGAATTTCATTAACATCTTTAAAACGGTTATCAGTTCAATCATGATAAGAAATAGGGTTCATCCTCAGTATAAGTGGAAATTAATTCAAAAGGATTTATTACAATTAATTACGTATATTTTTCTAAAACGTGCAGACAAACAAGTGCACAGACCAACGGACAGCAGTACTAATAATTTTTTAAACTACATTTTTTTGTTAGATATACTAAAAAAATAAATGAAAATATACGCTGACTTTATAAATAAAGATGTCTAGTTTTCAAAACACCCCTTTTTTATTGATTTAGTGTCTAACTTGGGAGATAGAGCGATTTTATATTGTAAAATCGTCACATAGTAGCGGCCTATCGAGAGTAAAGCACTCCCACACGCTTAAGCGTTGTGAGGCGTGCAATATTTTAGTCTGTGAGAATTTTACTGGTTTATTGTATAATAATAAGTATCACTGAATTAATTTGTGAAAGGTTTCCTTCAACAGAGCTTTGAGTGATTAATAAAAAAATCGGTAGCAAAGTAAGCATGTCCTTAATTAAAATTCCGATTAAAATTTCTGCGAAAAGAATTTCAGTAATGATTGGAAAAAGTTGACCCAAAGCTTATACACTTTGAATGAACGGTGAAGAATTTCAATACCAAAGCACAGTTCGCCGAATGTTTCAACAAAAAAAGATTTTTTTATCAAATTCTCATATAAGCCAATTAAAGTTTAAATAGGTAGGTTCGGTAAGCTTAGAACATGGAAATAACATGTTGAGGGTGAGGCCAAACGAGCGTAATTTTGTGAGTGGTGAGTCGCAGAATTTCGGTCGCAGAAATTCTGCTGCATTCGGTTTCATACAAAAAGGCAGTTGGTGCCACACGACAACGCAAAATGAGTTGTCTGCCGACTCAATGCGCATAAGCTCGTCCGAATTTCGGTCGGGGTGAGGGTAGGGCAAGGAAGGGGAGTGGGGAAGCAAAAGTTTATTACAAGTTGCGTGGTGTAATAATTCTTGAAAAACACGTAATGGCATATGATAGTACTTTTCAAACATATCTGGATTTGCACATAAACGTTCATATAAAGTATGGAACTGTCCACATATCAGCCTGTGACTATTCAGTGGGTTTACCCAGTTTCTTTTTCTGGCCTCATCTTCTGAATATGCTTCGTAAATACACAATATTTTTAATGGATCCATTGCACTCGACGACAAAAACACCCCGTTCTAACGCTCAATAGTAACTGAATAAATTACGTCCGTATGGCAGCTCAACAGAAATTCAGTTGAACGTAAAATAAGTGACCGAAAATAAGCGACTCACAACTCACAAAATTACGCTCGTTTGGCTTCACCCTAAGTCATGAAAAAGAAAATTCGTTGAAACATTCTTTCGGTGAACGGTGTTTCATATGGATACTTACTATTCGTAGCTCGCTATCGATAGCTATCAGGTGGTCAGAATGTTTGTTTGTTGTTTACAGAGCGGTGCAGCCAACGGGACGTGTTATCGCCGCGAAGCCGGTCGGATCGAATCAAAGCCGGGATCAAGTGACCGCGACTCGAGTGCGCCCGCGCCGCCGCGCCCGCCGTCGCCGCGCCGCGCCATTCCAGCGTCGTGCCTCAATGCGTGTGCGCGTGTCGAAAACACGCAGCCCCCACGATACAGTTAACTTCGCTCACATCGCTAATCAAATCATTCAATAAAATAATACCCTGATTACTCCCGTGTAGTGAACCAGTGACGCGTCCAAAGTTTTACCCGACTAAATCGTTGTGAACGTTTTCCCCTGTGATCGGACAAGTGCATTGAGTAAGTGTGGAGAAGGCTACATTCCAAACCGGTGTCGTTCTTTAATGGACGAGGTGTGTACTACTCTGTGTGTGTTTTATTAACGCTAGGCTAGTGACTACGTTGGTGTAGGTTCCGCAACACGGACAAGAAAACTTTGGCATAAATTTGTTTATAGACACATCGCCCACAGCCATGTGATAAGGTAAACAAGATAATCTCGCACCGAGGAAAATGGCTCGCGGATCACTGAGCGAAAACGAGCGCCAGTGCTTCGACACTGGCGCAAAAAGTCAAACGGATCATCTGCAAGACGCAGAAAAAACAATGAACATCGACTGTAAAACTAACGGTCTCCGAGTCCGCTTCCTGGATGAGGAAGGAAAGACGGAGAGGACTGTGAGCGCCGACGAGGTAGACTGCGCGGTGGCGCGCGTCAAGAAGATACACATCCTGAAGAACCGCAGCTCGAGTGAGACTAGCATCCTCCTCCGGAACGCCTCGCTGATGAAACGCAACTACAGCAATCGTCGGCACAGCGTCCAGGGTCTCAACAATAATTCTCTCAATGAGAATCTCAACGAACGGCTCTCCATGCTGAAGGAGAAGTCCGACAAGACTGACGACAATGAACTCACCAAAGAAGCAACCAACCAGACCTTTAAAAAGAATAGTAACGTTTACAGCGTAAACCAGGCGAAGACGCTCACCCCAGAAAAAAAGAAATCGTTGACGATGCCGCGCCTGATCAATCACAAGGTGCAGGAGAGCGGACAAGTCAAGTCAATTCTGCCCGGCGAGGTTTGTCTGGCCGAGGGCGCTGCAGGAAAGGATTTCACAACGCGCACCATTGGCCGCCTCTCTCGCAGCTTGGGCAAACTGCTACGACGCACCAACAGCGTGCGGATCAGCGACCCCGATCCTGTCTACAAGGTGGCCTACCTCGGCAATGTCCTTACCGGTTGGGCGCGAGGTGAGTCAGATGTTTACTTTTACGTCCCCGACCATACTTATCTATAGGTCATAGTGTAGCATTAGTCCCGCTCGTGCTGAACACGCTATTGAAGATCTCTTTATCTCACTTATATGGGTCATGTAGAGCAATATAGAGGTTATCTGGTGCAAAAACGATGTTGCTTTGAGTGCTGGCGCACCTGCGTTTCATGCCTTTGTAAGCTGCCAATGTTTGGAATGTGCAATTGTATTTAGTTCGTCATGACGTTGCACTACTTGATGTTATGAAATAATTTTTAAATCAATTGCTACATTATTTGTGATAAAAGTTACAAAAATTGCAGGAATAGATTATTTGGAGTACTTAGTAAATACTAAATAAGTTGTGATGGTATAATAATATAATTAAATAATGAATCACGATCGTCAAGTGCGGTTATTAATAATGTAAATTTACTCTTGAGATAGTGTTGCATTATAATATTTGCTTGTGAAGAAATAGAATTAACGAAGTCTGGTAATCATAAATGGTATTATTGCGTAAACTAGTTCAAGGCGAATCATCGAAGCAAAGCGTTATAATGTTCGATCATCGAATCCGAAAAATTAATAACAACGGAACAGTCATTCGGTCTTAACAAAATTGTAATAGTTGGATTGAAATCGATTAAATCGAAACGGAATTCTGGTTCCAATTTTGCAATAACTGTTCGTGTAAACGTAATAGGTTTAAAATTCTTATTGGCCGACGGTAGCGGCCGCATGTAGCGTGTTGGAATTCCTATGGTATTTGTTTCTAATCTCTGATTCGTTTGGTTCTTCTTAAGAACAGGTTTGTTTACCTATGGAATTATACCTCCTTCGAGAACTAGTAACTTCTATAGATATTTGCAAAAACATATAACATACGCAAAGTTTTGCAGCGTTGAATTGAATGTTAAACATTTGCTCTTCTAAATGAATAGTACACAAATTATTCTATAAAAAGACGCATCTCCTAGAGAAAGGGGCTATATCCATGGATGCGAACGTGCTTTACATTGAACCGATACTTTCGTTTTGCACTTCAGGCATGCGTCTAGTGGTTTCTTATAACGATTGAGTTATCTCAAACAATTTAAGTGAAAACGAAATCGGTTCTTTTATTGCGTTCTTTTGCGTCGAATGAAATGCTTGAGAAATAAGCGAATCTAATATAGTTATTCAAATTGAATCTTATGCAAGGACAACTTCTTCATTAGTTTCAAATAAAATTCAAATGGTAGGTAGGGTACACAGTTTCTTAATTTGTAGTAATTAATTCAGTAATAATTTATATTGATGTAAAAAAGTAAAGAATTCTGGCAGGTTAAAAATGTATTTTAATGAGATTATATTTGACGACCAAGAATCAAACAATTTATGGGATGTTCAAAGCTTAGCATATTGGTCAGATTTCCTTTGACCTTTTGCAATATAAATACACATGTTCTTTGGTTCATTTAATTCATGCATCAAGTTTTAATTTCTCTATTGCTTATAAATTTTCAAGTTCTTCGAAAGTTTGTGTTTCAAATACAGTGATTTATATTCTCAATAGCCAATATTTTATTGTGTTCCATAAGTTAAACAAGATTTTTCAATATTTTAATGCAAAAATATGGATCCAATGTTCAAAACTTCCAAAGATCTCAATGTTCCATAAATTTCTCACCATGTATCCTGCAAAAAGTTCAAAACATCACTTTCAATTTTGGCAGTGCTCACGAGCAGACAGGCTGGCTAATGTTGTCGGTAATAGCGATGAAAGTTGGCCACGTTGTTTGTGCCTGCAATAAACTCGATTTATTCCAATGTCAGTCGGGTCGAGCGTGCCCCCAGATAGTGAAAGTACCATCTGCGAATGTTTCTGCATCAAATCCTGATGTAATTTTCCCTAAGCGTCTTTCTGATTCTGAGTAGTAAAAAGCTTAGGTTGTTGTTCGGGGTTTGCGTTCGCTTATATTTGGAATCCTTTCCAATTAGCTTTTCCAAATCCTGGAAAATGAAATTTCGCTTTATGATTCATTATCACATAGACATTGGCTCTTCGCCTATAAATATATCGATTGACATCGCAATAACAATTTCATTGACCTCGTTCAATTTGTTCAACGCTATTATTGATTTGCATTTCCTGACCAAATTCAAAATACCTTTAGACAAAGAACTTATTCTTTGAGAAAACAATCTTAGGAATGTTTATTTATTGTCAGTATTTATATCTGTTGTTAAACAAAACCGTAACTTTAATGACTATGTTTGATAATAATAATGAGTGATGACGGTGAAAAGAAAACGATTTTAAATATTCAGCTGTTTTTTCTGTGGCAGGTTGTATTATCACACTATGATTAATTACTTGGTGCTGTGACGCGGTCGTCTCGTGACACAAAGTTATACTGCGCAGCTCGGGATGTTAAGATCAAGGATCGAGGAGGTTAACTACATGTTTGAGGATTAATAAGAGATTTAGCTCACTGCATTAAGAAGGGATTTAGAGATAGCAAAGGTTTAAAAATAATAACAGCTCAAGTAGACAATTCTGGTTTAACATGTTCAATTCAAAGTAATAAAATCCTTTCATACGTATCAAAACGAGCAATTATTGTTAAAAGTAAAAACATAAACATAACAAAAGTAAAGCAAAAATAGGCGAAAAAATATTTGTTTTTTTACTTTTAACAATATGTTCAGAGATTTTTGCTCATTTACATTCGAATGGAAAAAAAATGTTTCTATTGTACATGGCGTTGTACGGCGCTGTAAGCATTCTGTACAAAAGTTAAATAAGCAAACAAGATCAATCATATTAATTAGTCATCAATCAGAGCATTTAAATACAATTATGAATGTCAAATATGAATTGCTATGGTGTATTGCGATCAAGGCACAGTTTCGCCAATTTTAAATGATGTTGAATCCGACCTTGACGAATACTCTATTTATTCATTGTCTCAATTTAAAAGACAACATTCTCAGAAATATCCAACTTTAAAGGAGTTAAAATTTTGTGTGGCTTCTTCGGTGTGCCCACCTGAACTTGTTCCCTACCTTGACTAGCGGAAGCGCGGTTACCGAGCAGTGTTCCCCCTCTCTTTCCCCCGGGTCGTCTCCCTTACACTTTTTTAGTATTGCATTCCAAGCATCATTGTCCGTGGTTCTCCCACGCTACGCTCGGTGGCTTTCACGACTACAAATTCATCATTTACGACTCGGATAACCTCTATTACTTCATATAAGAGTCCAATTTATTGTATAGTACGTGTAATATCTAATTTGTTCTAAGTTCACTTGTTGTCGGCTACATTTTGTTATGGGCATGTATTAGTTAAATTGAGGTTACAGCCGTAAGGTTAATGATTAGTTACCAATATCGAGAATTATAGTCTCTCAAATATTATGGTCATTAATTATGATTGAATCAAGAATATCCTTTTAAATATTTCAATGAATTTTGTGTTGTTTCTTTAGGTTATAATATTTTTGAGGAAAATCACGCATTAAAATACAATGGCGTTGCGGGTGATTATGGGTTCTTGCGTGTGTTTTGTACCTGCTTACTTAATATAAGTAATAAATAAGCTAAGACCTCAAATCATACACTGCAGACTTAAATATTTTTAACGTAAACAATAATCCACATTTGAATTAGTTTCTTGTTGAAGTATGCACACAGTATCATGTAGGTATGTAGCACGGTTTTTAGTATGAAACATTTTTACTGCATAAATATGTAGTGCTAGTCTAACGATGTCTAAGGGTTTAGTCTCAAATTTTATTTTATCAGCGCTAGCAATGAAATTATTTGTCATACAGATAATTTCCATATTTTTGTCGGCTATCTATTGAAGTGAAAAAGATATTTTAATTTAGAAATTAAACAGACTAATGACCAGTCAAAGGATATTTTGAGCAAAGTATACAAGTTTTTATAAAACAAACCTTATATAACTTAAAGGACTCCTGATACTGAGGAGGTGACTAAACACCTTGAGCCTCTCCAGTTACGCCGTGACGTGGCGTCACTAAGCGCGTTCTATCGTCTGTACCACGGCGAGTGTTCTGAGGAGTTATTCTCTCTTATCCCACCTTCCCCTTTCCTTCAGAGGACCACGCACGCTGGCCTACATTATCACCGTCTTACTGTGGCCACAATTTCAACGCGTACAAAGAAATTTGGAGACTCATTTCTTTGTCGCACTATCCGTAAATGGAATGCTCTGCCCGCTCACGTGTTCCCTCCCTCTTACAACCTGGGATCCTTTAAAAGAGGCGTGAAGAAGCAACATGCAGGCCGGCAGGGTGAGGATGGCTGGTGTGGCAGGTAGAACTGCTGTATCAGCTATCTTCGCGTCTGGACTTCACCTTCACTTAACATCAGGTGGGGTGGAGTCATTTATCTGACCTATCTACAAAAAAAAATCTACTTCCAAGAAACCCTGTTCTATACACGTTTATAATTATTAAAATGGCAGTTAAAGATGATTTAAAAAAAGGGACTATCTTCAGAAAGCGTAACATTCTAAGTTCTTTAAACATTCGTGGCGATACGTGGCGATACGGTCAGTGACTTTTGGGTGATTAGGAAAGTGTGATTATGAAAATACTAGCAAAGTGAACCAAATGTTCACCAAAACCTGATTTACAAAAAAAAATGTATTTAATTAATTGAGAACTTCGGAGATTTTGTGTGGTTTCGTTTGAAATTCGTGATTTCTCGAAAACCGGAAGTGCTACGTTACTCAAATCCGGTTTGTAGTCTTATCAGACTATTCTTAACTTATAACTTAAATATTCTTTTTATCTATCTCTTACGGTTTGGCCGCTGAAACAGCACCAGAGACGGACGGACTTGTCTATTAGATAAGAGATACAATGTGTCCGTGTATATAAAATAGCTTTATGCTTCATCAACTAGCACATTTGCTATTTGTGATATGGTAGACTTTTTCATTGAAGTTCATATCTCCTAAGATTGCTTGTGAATATTGTGATGTG